ATCGTTAGATGAGACACAAAACACAAATAAACAAAAGCTGTCTGAAGTGCTGGACAAAGATTTTTGAAATAACCAAAGAAGATATACATGTGATAAATAAACTCCTAAAATATCCAAATTTAGCCACTGGGAAAATGAAAATTAAAATAACAGTGAATACCTCTATGCAATTATCACAAGTACAAGGAGGCAAGCAACTAGATTTCTCTGATATTACAGGTAAAGAGACAGATGGTTAGCCCTTCTAGAGAACAGTAAATCAGATTCCATAGTAAAATTCAATAGTTTCAAGCCTAAGTATTTAATGGAAACAAAGGAAAATTTATGCTCACATATCAATACAAATGAATGCTTACCACAACTTTACTGATAATCAACAAAAAAATCTAAAACAATTTAAATACTTTTACTGTGAAAGAGATAAACAATTAGGGATAGATTTATACAATGCATTATAATAATTTTTGATACATGAATGTGTCAGCATGGATGAATCTCCATGACACTATGCAGAGGTTTGAAAAGGTCAGTTTCAAAATGTTAAATACTGCATAATTTTATTTACATAAAATTCTGGAATAGATAAATCTACAGGGATAGAAAACAAATAAATTGTCACCAAGGGGAGCTGGATCAATAGTACAGCAGGTAATGCATTTGCCTTGCACGCGGCCGGCCCAGGTTCGATCCCCAGCATCCCTTATGGTCCCCTGAGCACCGCCAGTAGTAATTCCTGAATGCAGAGCCAGGAGTAACTCCTGTGCATCTATGGGTGTGACCCAAAAGGTGAAAAAAAAAAAGTCACCAAGGACTAAGAGTAAGAGGAAATAAATAACCACAAATTGCAGTAGCTTATTTGTTTGATACAATAAACTATTCTGTGATCACTGTACAACTCTATACATGTATTAATATTCATAAAATTGTATGCCTGAAAATTTTTTATGAATATTTTTAAAATAACTAATAAAATTTTTTTAAAAATCTAAAGCTCAAGATGTAGCTCATCTTGAAAAGAGAATCTTTAGGGTTTACAAATTATAAATCCGCATTTAATATAGTCTTACATAATTTATTTTTTCATTGATCTGTCATAAGTTAGTAACAAGTTTACAAATAAAAGCTATAACTACCTTTCAACAACTAAGGTATTTTCTTAAGTATTTTTGACAGCTCTCTCTACTGTGCTCAAACATTTTTCAAAGTAATCTTAAAAGCCAAGGCTTGGTTTTCTAATTGCATACAACTATTCCATTATTATTCCCTCCAGAAATCATTACCATCATCTCTTGCTCAGATCATTTGCAAAAGAAGATAAATATCTTTGTGAACAATATGTAATGCTTGGAGACTATCCAAACAAGTATATATTAGGTACAACCATAAAGAGGTCCATTAATTCCTAAAGGACACACTAATCACTAAAGAATGTGGGAGTGATCCAGAGCTAAAAAAAAAAAAGTTTGTCCTCACTTTCCACCTTACTCTATTCTTTATTAGCTCTTCCTCAAAGGAGGAGGAATTGCAAATCTAGTCTTTCATAGTTCATAATTCTTTGGATAAAATATAATATTGTAAAGACACATGTATTCGTAATCATATCCTTTTTTCCTTTCAGCAACAGGCCAAGGAATACCCTCACATTCTCTTGTATTCTTTTTTTCACCTAATACCCATTCCAGCAGTTTAGTTTAGTTTCTTCTCTCCTTTTCCTTCTATAGATTGACAAGAATGGCTTGACCTTCTTATCTTATCTTTGCCCTCACAAATCCAACAGCACCATATGGAAATCAAAAACTCTCCTTCAAGAAACATTATTTTCCCCTTCAAAATGAAAGCTTCTGGCTAGAATAATGGGCTTGTCTGGGTCTCTTTTATGTGCAGGAACAAAAACATTTTTGCATATTGGTTTTATCTCTCTCATTATTTTGGCCTTGGTGGTATGTCACTAAATCTCATATTAATCTAGAGAGAAAAAAAAAAAGAAAGAAAAATCCTGCAGGCCCCTGTGGCCTGATGAATAAGGCATTGACCTCCTAGAAAGAAAGATCATGTCTTCAGTTTGGGGTTACAGAAGGAAGAGAACTAAATACAAGATGTAGAAAACAGGAGACCTCACTTTTGCCTTTGCCCTACCTTATTTTAACCTGTATTTATAGATGCATGCCACTTAAAATTTTTGTTTATTGCTAATTTTTATCAGTCCTAAATTTAGTGAAAAGAATAAGTAAGTAAAGGGCTTCGGACAACTAACTTCTTAAATAATTAGTTTCTGTGGTCCCTTGCCTTTAAGAGATTTAAAAATTAAAGAGATTTAAAAATTTATATTTCCTAAGTTAAAGTCCTTCCAAAATGTCAAAATATATAATGGTACAAGAAAGAGAAAAGGCGTAGAACTTAATTATCTGTCCTATGTAAGATAATTATGAGAATACATCAAAATAACTTGCCATTACCTAAGCCCTATTTCTTATAATCTAACTCTAGTCAATATAAAAGAATATAAGGGCATTTTATACAATATAAACTTTATCCAAATTAGGATGAAATAAAGCCCAGCTCCATTTCCTCTACTTTCCCTTATACTTCTGGACTCAAAATTGTTTTATGAATTCATCACTTTTTTCATGTTTATCTCAAAGATAAGAAAAGATGTAGCAGAATTCTTCAAAGGCAGCTCAGTACACAGAGGCAAGTCCATAACTAGAACTTGACTACCTGTTTCTCTTCATCAAAATCCAAAAAGCTGGTTTTGAAAAGCATAATACTCACTCACCCAATCATATAAATAGGTCCTTTTAAAGTCGTAGTTATATTCACCTTGGAGTATTTGACTTTATTAATTAATTTTGGGGTAATCAATGTATATTTGTTTGTTCTCTCCCTTCCTGGGTTTGGCTTGGAGAAAGGAGTAGGGTGCATTTACAGGAACTCTTACAAAACATCTGGATCCCCATGATATAGAGCTCTGAGTAACAACAGTCCTCAAAATGAGGTTAAATGCCTCAAATTAAAAAAAATAATTCATTGTTCTGATTTTCTTTCAAAATATCACTACATGAGTTACAAGACAGAAAATCAGCAAAAGGTAAACCAACCTACTTAAAACTGTTCTTACTGACCCAAAGTACTCATGAGATATTATTTAAAATATCTCAAAATTGAAGAAATGATCCAACACATGTTTCTCCACATCATCTATCTAAATCTACTCAGGTCAATTTACATTGTTTCTTTGAATAACAACTACTGTTGTTAGGTGGGAAATATGAAAGCAAAATTTGGAAGAAATATAAAAATATATATCCCTGTCCAAAGAGTGAGAAGTTTAAGTCAATCCACTTCCATTCCCAGTTGACTAACCACTCATAACACAACCCTTCACCCATACTCACATGCTTAGGAAATATCTAGTTAACAACATCCAACAACTCTAACTCTGAACAACACCAACACATGCTCCACCTTTCCAAAGGAAGGACTTTCCTTTATCTGCGACTGACGTTGGACCAAAATCTGCCTTGTGCTCTCAGACTGGCAGAGATATTTTGCCAAATACTGTCTCTATGGGGTAGGGGAAAAAACGAAAATGTTCAGCTAAAGGATGACTGGGGCTGACTGAAGCCAGTCTCCCTGGGGTGGTACATTAGGAAAAACACTGTTTACTTCACAGGGTAATTTGAAGTTCAAATTAAGGAAACAGCATGGGAAGTGCTTTCTGTAAAGTGTTAAGTGATTTGTAAATGCAACAAAGAATTGTTATTTTCCAACTTCACACACCCTATGCTGATTGAATACCCTTCGCTGTACAGAACAATTCCTCCCCCCCTCACTGAATTGCTTGGGATCAGCAGCATAAGTACTGAGGGCTTTCCTCTAAGGCATTGCTCCCAGTTCCTGCCTGTAAGGAGTATCAGAGCTGAAAGCGTTTTCTACCTCCCTATCTAATATCCTTGTTTGAGTGCTGGATTGTGACTTCCGTTTTCCAAGTCTTGTTAACACTTTTGAAGCCCAGACTCAATTTTTTAATGCCAAAATGCATTAGATCTCCCATCCCCCAGCCATGTGGACACAATAAATGTAATGCAACTTTTCAAGTTAAAGAACCATAACAAATTAAAAGAGTTGTAAACTAGCCCAGTATTCAGTCTTCTTGAATGAAAAGAGCCTAGAACTTAAAACGGGATGGGGAGTTGGAGATGAGGGAGACTATCTACCGCTAGAGACAACATCATTCATTACCAATGATGCTGCTTTTCCCTGGCACTCCCTCGCTGCACCTGACTACCTGAAACTAGCACCACTAGGTCCTCGCTGGGGGATGGAGGAGGCACGCAGATGGGAGGGAGGCGGACTCAAACGCAAGCACGTGATAATAAGCTGGTCAAACACAAACAATTCTGCCTATCTGCCAACTTGTAACCTCAGTTAGCAGTAAAGGCACTAAAGTCCTTCGCTGCCAGTTCAAAAAAAAAAAAAAAGAAAAGAAAAGAAAAGGACACTGCAACCGCCAGTGGCGCCACAGCAGCAGCAGCCTCTAAGCTGCAGCGTCCAGCGGGAGTTTCGGATCTAATTCTTGGAGGAGTATTGCTCCTCTGGCCCTCGAAACCCACTCCCCTGGGCTTAGAACACTCTTCCAGAAGTGGGTCACACAGACACTTCTACAGCGGGGGAGCTTGGGGGGGGGGGGGGGTGGCCGAGATGGAGAATCCCACCGAAAGAGCCCTCAGCCCCACCTCTCCACCTTCCAGACCACCGCGTCACGGCGCCGGGGTTCCCGAGGAGCAGCTGCGGGCTGGTGACGGAAACTGCTAGAGGGCACCTAGGGCAGGACGCCGCGGGGGGGACAAAGACGCACAAAGAAGCTCCCTCCCCTCGCACGCCGACTCTTAACTCGGAGACGCGCCAGGGGGACTTCGGGAGAGGCCCACCCGCGCCCTCCGCTTCTCTAACCCGCCCCCCTCCATGGACACTGGGATAGAAGAAAAGTGTAGGGGTACCTGGAGCGAAGACCATGATCTCCTCCGGCCGCAGCGCCCCGAGATGCAGCGACGTGGACAGATGCACTCGGGGCGGAGGAAGGCCAGTGCTGGGGGAGTCCGCGCGGGCCGCCGGCCAGGCGCTCAGCACCGCGGACAGCTCCCGGCTCGGCCGCGGCCGCGCGCTCGGCCTCCACCACGCGCCGCGGGAGGAGGAGGCGCCCGGAGCCTGCCCGGGAGCAGCGCACTCTGACCGCTGCCTCGGGAGGAAGGACGCTGCCTCGGGAGGAAGGACGAAGGGAAGAGAGGGAAAGGTAATTGCCTGGCTCCCCGCGGGAGACGGCGCTAATTGCCTCTAATTACCTGCTGTCGCTCGCCTGCTGGATATTAGACTGACATTTGGGATGAGTTTGCCTCCCCACCCCACCCCCAACCTTGTCTTTTCTTTCTGTCTCTTTTTTCAACTCCAAGAGTCTTACTCTGAAGACTGACTCTGAGTCCCCCAAGTTGGACTGAAGGGTGGGGCTTCCAAGTTAATGGGTCTTTGGGGAGCATGAGACCACTCTGGGACTCCGGGGAACCGGGGACCCGGTAGGACAGGGTAATTAGGGGCGTGACAGAGGATGTCACTCTCATCAGGGCCCACTAGGTGACCAATCCTCTTCTAGAAGTTTCTAAGCTAAAGGTTTCCAAACCCCTCATATATATATATATATATATATATATATATATATATAAAACTTTATCACTGTCATTCAGTCGTTCGTCCATTTGCTCGAGCGGGTGCCAGTAACATCTCCATTTGTCCCAGTCCTGAGATTTTAGCAGCCTCTCCTTACTCATTCTTCCCAGTGGAAGAATAAGTAAGGATATATATATATATATATATATATATATATATATATATATATATATATATCCAATACACAGAAAAGAGATCTGCAAGAATCAGGTTTCCTCCACCAACAAATGCAGTCTTTTTAAAAAGTATGAGATGAGCCAACTAAGTATAAAAGCCGTGATCAGGTCACTCAAGAAACCTTAATGCTTCCCCTACACAACTGAAAAAGATGCCTCCTTCATACACACTCAGTTATACTCTAAAAGATACTTGAATATGCCCCACTCTCAGTTCATGCTCTGTCCAGTTCGCTAGTAACGCTCCTCAGGGGAGGCTTCCACTGGGCATTACTTGACTGGAAACTAACCAATCTGATACAGTGTCAAAGCCAAGGTGACAGGATCTTTCAGCCTCAGATTCAGTTGCTTTGGCTTTTATCCCTTTTTTTCTGAATGACTTTTTCCATGAGCAAATGATAAGCTGACTCATTTGAAGTGTTTTGCGAATTTTCTTCATTTGCACCTCTCCTGGAAAAAAATATTCGGCTATCCTGAAAACACAGTAATTCCTTAGTAATTTGATTGATAAGGTTCTATACTCTTTTGGCAAATATAAAGCATTCATAACAGCCTATTGGCACTGCTTTTGTACAAAGCCATCTGAGAGATGGAAAATGCAAATAGTTTCACAGCTCTCAAACTACAGTTTGCATGGAGGCATATGGGCAACCTCAGCATAACATAATCAGTACTGCTCTTAGCACCTGGTTCAGCATAGGCTGGAACAGATGGGTCCTGCCTCAGAAGCAACAAAATGCAAGTTGGCTGATGGTCAGGATGAAGTATGTGCATGACAAGATGCAATTTTTTTCATTTCTTGCAGCTACACCAAAAGTCAAGAACCAATGAAACTGGACTCTGTCTGTCATCTTGCCTTTTTATTAAGCATAAACATTATGCAAAAAATCATTTGAGGCAGGGGAAAACTTCTTTCTCTTAAAATAATCAAAAAGGTTTTCTTTTACAACCTTACTTTTTGTTTTGTTTGCTCGCTTGTTTTTGTTCACACCTGGCAGTGTCCAGAGGTTACTCCTGACTCTGCACTCAGAAATTACTCCTGGTGGGTTAGGGGGTTGGGGGTGAGGAGGAACATATGGGATGCCAAGTATTGAACCCTGGTCAGCTTCATGCAAGGCAAAAGTCCTGCCTATCTGTACTATCTTTCTGGTCTCACAGCCTTGCTTTTTAAAAATGTTTTATTTTATTTTTTTTGCTTTTTGGGTCACACCCGGCGATGTACAGGGGTTACTCCTTGCTCTGCACTCAGGAATCACTCCTGGCAGTGCTTAGGGGACCATATGGGATGCTGGGAATCGAACCCGGGTCGGCCCTGTGCAAGGCAGACGCCCTACCCGCTGTGCTATTGCTCCAGCCCTGTTTTATTCTTTTAATACTTGGACAATTGCTCATGATTAAGTTCAAGAAAAAAAGAAAAAATAACAAAGGTACAGAAAAAAAAGACTTTGAATTCAGAGTGACAGCTCAGTGAGCTGGAGTACATGCTTTGTATGCAGGAGACTTAGGTTCAAGTGCCACATGGTCCCCTAAGCACTGCTAGGAGTAACCCACACACATCAGCCTAGAAAACGTGAGCACCGTCAAGTGTATCCCCATTACCAGGAAGGGCAGGGTGAGGCAGAAAACAGACTTTGGAATTGACAGACTGAAGTAGAAAGTCTTCACCATTTACCAGCTGTATGACCCTGGATGTTTTACTTAACGAATGTCACGTGCAATAGAAGGATAAGGAAAGATTTCTTGTGAGGATTAAATGTGATAGTGGACTAAGAGTGAAACAACAGCACTACCCCCAATTAAACCCATTTTAGGAAATCTGTCATCTGAGAATAGACGATATCCCAAAGGAATGCCAATTTAATGAGTTAAATTGGTACTTCTCAAATTCTAACGTGCACATGATTCTTATGGAAATCTTAAAAGCAGATTATAAATATGCATATCAAGATAACTGCCTGGTATTTCTAACAAATTTCTAACAAGTAGCCTTTGGTGCTACTCGTTCTCAAACAATACTTGAGTGGCATATTATTAGATGTATCACTATTTGAAAAGTAAATAAATCACTATAACTCCTTCAATAACGGAGCATATCCTTCTACATATTAAATAAGGAGTGAACCAAGATGGATTCTTATAGGCTTTCAAACTAGACAGAGACCAAGATATAAATAGAAGGGATAAAAATGTCTGTGAATGGTCCCATAGCTCTTTGGATTTACTTGCTGTGTAATATATGGTAACTTAATTTAGTAGAAACCAATGACACAGGTCAAGAACAAAAGGAAAAATTCTTCCTGGGTCTTCTTCAGCTCTCTTTTTCCCTTCTATCATTTCATTACTTTTATCTACCATATACACTACTGCTATTTAGCCAGAGAACAACATACAATTATTTTCAATTTTTACTACTTCCAGAGTAAATTCCATTGGTTTACTGAAATGCCTTAATGGTGCTACTAGATTTGTATATCATTAATTTATTGTATTATAAATGTAATAATCAAATGTCTGATATAAAAATTAATTCTTCCCCTGACATTACCTTAAGATCAGTCATTGAATCTTACCTACATCTGAGACTTAAATTTTCAATGTAGGGGCGACAGAGATAGCACAGAGGGTAAGATGCTTGCCTGGCATCTGACCAACCCTGGTTGGAATCCCCAGGAGCACATATGGTCCCTTGAACACAACCAGCTATCAGTGGCTTTCCAAGCCCAGAACAAGGAATAATTCCTAAACACCAATGGGTAAGACTCCAAACACAACCCCCCAATTATTAAAAAAAAATTCTCATTAAAATCTCGTTTTGTCTTTTTCATCTCAACTCTACTCAAGCAACTCACTGCCTTATGAGAAAGATATTTATCAAGGAGATAGCAATGCCACTGACACTGTCACTCATTCTAGAACTTTCTCATCAATTATGAAACTAGTGATAGGAAGTGAGAGAACAGGTAAGTTAGACTAGATGGCCCAGCTTTCATGCTGTGGTGCAGAGCTTATCAAACTGGACATTCCTATCCTTAGAGATACTCATCAAGATGCTAGATGAACCAGAAAGCACAGGGCAGGGTATGTGTGGAGGGGGCTATAGGGGTGGGGGTGGGGGAATGGCAATTAACAGAACCAACTATTTTAACTATTGTACTCAGAAATATGGAAGAGTTTTTTTATTTAAAAGAACAAAGATAGGGGCTCTGAGTGATAGTACAGTGGACAAGATTCTTGTCTTGCAAGCAGCCAACACAGGTTCAATCCCCAGCACCTCCCATGGTCCCCTGAGCCCACCAGGAGTGATCCCTGAAATCAGAGCCAGGAGTCACGGTCACGGTCACGGTCCTCCCGTTGCTTCACTGATTTGCTTGAGCGGGCCCAGTAACGTCTCCATTGGAGACTTTTGTTGTTACTGTGGCATATCGAATACATCACGGGTAGCTTGCCAGGCTCTGCCGTGCGGGTGAGATACTCTCAGTAGCTTGCCGGGCTCTCTGAAAGGGGTGGAGGAATCAAACTCGGGTCGGCCATGTTGGTTGCGTGCAAGGCAAACGCCCTACAGCTGTGCTATCGCTCCAGACCAGAGCCAGGAGTAAATCCTGAAAACCCAAAAACTGAAAAAAAGAAAGAAAAAAATAACATGAATACACTATGAAATGTCATATAAATACTAAGTTGAAAACTTCTCCCAAATTGCCATACTCAAATTACAGCCTTAATTCTTAAGTGCCAGAAAGTCCCTATCCATTTCCTCTTTATATATGTATTTATTTATCCCATTTTGTCTTTACAACTTTAGCACACATAGAAGTTTGAAAACTGGTTCTAAAGTATTGCCACCACTTCTAATATTTACTAATCACTTTCATCCCAACCATATCCTGATTCTTCCCATTCTGTACTTATTTTAAGTACATTATCAAATCAACCAAAAATCTAAACATATTTTAGAAGTCTGGAGGAGAGTTACAGTGGATTGAAAAGAAGAATTTTCATTATGAAATATTAAAGGATTCCAATGTTTTGACTTGTAAGTTTCAAATGATTCAAGAAAATGTTACAACTCTTCAACTGAGAACTGCTAAAGAACATTGAGTGAGCCCTAAGGAAAGGCACAGAATCATGTTAACTGAAGTAAGCCAGAAGAAGGACAAACACAGCATGTTATCACTTATATGTAGTAATGAGAGTAACTGCATGAGGAAATGGAATGATTTAACTGAGGAGATGCCAAGACCATCCTTGGCCTCAGAGTATGGGGAGTAGAAGGAAAGAAAAAGAGTAAAGTGGAAAGGGAAGAGAGAGAGATAAAAAGGAATGGGGGGTGGGATCAAAAGGATCCAGATAAATTGGTGATGTTAA